AAGAACCAAGATGCATTATGTAAAGGTACAATTCCCAATGAGAAATGTAATTGTGTTGTATACCTACAATGTACCAATAAAAGAATTTAATAAAGAATCACACACCACAACCATGTTAGATTTATCCCAGAGACGCAAGTGTGGTTCAAAATAAGACAATCAACCAATGCAATATATCTTATCAACAGAATAAATGGAGCAAAAACACTCAGTAAAATTGGAATAGAGGGGAGCTTCCTGACCACAACAAAAGGCATTTATGAAAAACACATATCTGGGCCAGGGATTTAGCTCAGTGATTCTGCTGCCTGCCTCGCAAGCATAAGATCCTGAGTTCAATCCCCGGTACAAAAAAAACCCAAAAAACCACATATCTACTATCACATTCAATGGTAAAAGACTGAAAGCATTTCCCCTAACATCAGGAAGAAATCAAGAATGCCATGTTTATACTGCTATTTACTATTATACTAGAAATCTTAGCAGTTAGGCAGTGAAAAGAAAGAAAAAATCATCCAAATCAGAAAGGAAAAAGTAAAACTATATTTACTTTCTTATACAGTATATAGAAAGACAGATCTTATACAGTATATAGAAAATCTCATAAAATCCACAAAAGTAAAAAATAATTATAGAAATAATAAATAAACAGCAGTTTCAGAGTATACGATAAATACAGGGTACATGATAAAAATTAGTTGTGTTGAGCTAGGCCTAGTGGAACATGCTTGTAATCCCACCATTCTGGGAGGCAGGAGGATTTCAAGTTAGAGCCCAGCCTAGGCAACTTAGCAAATCTCTGTCTCAAAATAAAAAAAGGCTGGGCCAGGGATTTAGCTCAGTGGTTCCGCCACCTGCCCTGCAAGCCCAAGGACCCGAGTTCGATCCCCAGTACCAAAAAATAAAAATTAAAAAAAAAAAGGCTGGAGATGTAGCTCAGGGATAAAAACCCTAAGTTCATTCTCCACTACCACAATATAAATAAATGAAATTTAAAATGTTAAAAAAATTAAAAGGGGCAGAGGATATAGCTCAGTGTGAAGGTCCTGGGTTCAATCTCAGTACTGGCAAAAAAAAAAAAAAAAATCAGTGTTTTTCTCATTAGCAATGAAAAATCCAGAAAGAAAAAAAATTTAATTCTACTTACAATGCTATCCAAAAGAATAAAATTACCAAAGAGGTAAAATATTTGTACAATGAAAGCTAGAAAATATTGTGGAAAGAAATTAAAGAAAAACTAAATAAATGGAAAAGACAGCCCATGTTCATATCTTGAAAGACTCAATATCCTTAAGATGACAGTATTTACTCAAAGCAATCTATAAATTCAATACAATTCTAATTTATTTTTTTTTTTTTTGGTACTGGGGATTGAACTCAGGTCCTTGTGCTTGCAAGGCAGGCAGCGGAACCACTGAGCTAAATCCCCAGCCAACAATTCTAACATTTTAACTGTATTTTGGCAAGGTGGTGAACGCCTGTAATCCCAGCACTCAGGAGGCTGAGGCAGAAGGATCGCCACAAGTTTGAGTCCAGCCTGGCCTACAAAGTGAGTTCAAGGCCAGCCTGAATTACAGAGCAAAAAAAAAAAAGCAAACAAAAATTTCAACTGTAATCCCAGCGCTTTGGGAGGTTGAGGCAGGAGAATCACAATATTGTTTGATTTATTTCGTGTAATACGTCCAGAAAGCCAAATCCACAGAAACAGAAATTTGATTAGTGGTTACCCCGGGAAGGGAGGGGAAAAGTAGGAAACAATTTCTTAATGGATACAGTGTGTGATTTGAGATGATGAAAAAGTTTGGGAACTAGAGAGAAGTGATGGTTGCACAACAGTGTGAGAATTAGAGAGTAAAGCCGAGGAGAAAAGGGACATTTATATAGTTTTAAAGTATTCCACCCCAAATATTTATTAATTACAGGAAAAAAATCTTCCTGTCCCAAGACATATGCTATATTTCTTGATATGATATACTGAGAAAAGGGTATTAATTTCTATGGCATTCTTGTAAAAAATGTATAACCTCAACCTAGTGATGAGAAAATATATGACAAATCCAAACTGAAGGATTGTCTGTATGATAAGTGACCAGTAGTAGTCTTTGCTTTTTCTTTATGCAGTGCCAGGATTGAACCCGGGGCCTTCACACTGAGCTATACCTTCAGGCCCCCCACCCCTTCTCTTTGCAGTACTGGAGAGCAAACTCAGCAATGCTCTACCACTGAGCTACATCCCCACCAATTTTTATTTTTTGTTTTGAGACAGAGTCTCATTAAGTTGCCCAGGCTGGGTTTGAACTTGTGATCCCCCTGTGTCAGTCTCTCAGAGTGCTGGAACCACAAGCATGTGCGAGCATGAGCAGCTCTGACCAGTTCTCTTTAACATACTAACGCTTGGGACAGAGGATATAGCTCAACGGTAGAGTAGTTGCTAGCAAGTCTAAGGCCCTAGTTTAATTCCCAGTGTTAGAAAACAAAGAATCGTGGCTCTACAGTACAGCTTTTGCCTAGTAGGCCCTTGGTTTGACCTTTCATACCACAAAAAGAAACCGTACTTTAAGCTGGGCCTCATGGCATGTGCCTGTAATCCCAGCACTAAGGAGGCTGAGACTGGAGGATTGCTATATTGAACCCTATCTGGACTACAGCGAGTCCCTGTCTCCAAAAAAAAAAAAAAAAAAAGACGTTAAATAAAAGTATCAAAGTCATAGGAGTGGAAGGTCCAGATCAGTGCTCAGCAGATAAAAGGCTGAGTTCCTGGGCATGGTGGTGCACGCCTGCAATGCCAGCACTTGGGAGGCTGAGGCAGGAGAATTGACATGAGTTTGAAGCCAGCCTGTGCTACATAGTCATGAAAGACCAGGGAGGACAGGGGTACCTAGAAGACAAAAGACATGATATCAAAGGGCAATGTAGAATTCTAGATTTGGATCCTGGGAGGGAAAACAAATAATAACGGGAAAAGTGGCAAAATCTGAATGTCTGTAGTTTAGCTAAAGGTATTAATGTTAATTTCATAGTTTTAATACTGTAACTACTATGGTTATCTAAGATATTAATATTAAAGAATAATGAATGATATCTATAGAGGACCTTTCAGTGCTAGTTTTATAACTTTTCTGTCTTAAAAAGCTAAAAGAAAAAGAAAAAGGTGGGAAAAGAAAAGAAGAAAGTGGCATACCCTTGTAGTGCTAGCAGTCAGGAGGCTGAAATGGCAACATAGTAAGAGCCCATCTCAAAGTAAATAAAACAACACAAATGTCAAATTTAGTGGACAGCTGAAACACACACACACACACACACACACATATTTTGTGGTATTGTGAATTGAACCCAAGGGCACTCTACCATGGAGCTACATCCCCCAGCCCTTTTCATTTTTTATTTTGAGACAGGATCTTGCTAAGCTGCCCAGGCTGGCCTTAGACTTGTGACCCTCCTGCTTCAGCCTCCCAGGTAGCTAAGATTGCAGGTATGTGCCACTGTGCTTGGCTGTCAAGTTGATTTTTCCATCTATGTTCATCAGGGAGATTGGCTTGTAATTCTCTTTTCTGTTTGGATTCTTCTCTGGTTTTGGAATTAGGGTAATGCTTGGTTCCAGGAATGAATTTAGGAGTATTGCTTCCCTTTCAATTTCATTAAAGAGATTGAGGAGCAGCAGCACTAGGTCTTCTCTAAATTCGGCATTGAATCCATCAGGGTTGGTAGGTTTCTTACTACATATTCAATTTCATTAGCTGATACTGGTTTATTTAGAATTTCTTTGTCTTCTTGATTCAGATTTGGTAATTCATATATATCTGGGAATCTGTCCATTTCTTCTGTATTCTCCGTCTTATTAGAATACAGGTTCTCAAAGTAGGTAATGATGATCTGGATTTCTGCAGGGTTTCATGTGATTTCACCCTTTTCATTCCTAACTGCATGGATTTGACCCCTTCCCTGCCTCTCTCTCTCTCTCTCTCTCTCTCTCCCTCCTTCTCTTTTGGTACTGGGGATCAAACTCAGGACTTTGTACTTGCCAGGCAGGTGCAGTGATACTGAGCTATATCCCTGGCCCTGCATCGCGGAATCCCCTGCTGCCTGCCGGATCTCCCTCAGAGTCTGGCACTGCTCCAGCAAGTGGTCGCTACAGATGATATACACCTGACAAGCTGGATCATGACTCATTTTTCCTCTGAGGAATTTTTCTACATGCCCAATAGTTGCTTCTCCTGAAACTCGGACAAACTTCTTTTCTAATGGCTTAAAATGTTCTGTGCATCGATGAATTCCAGTAATAAAGACATATCTAGTTCAGGTGGAATATGAAACACTGATTCTAGGACTTTCTTAGTTCTTCCTTTGCTTGAAGGGGCTGTCTGGGGCACAGCAGGTTTAAGTACTTCTAGACCTCTTTCTTTATAGAAATCATGCATTTGCTTTTTTTTCTCTTTCCGCTAGATTGATCACTAATTTGTACACTGTCTTGCAACTGTCGGTCCAACCTTATGTTATAAAGAGGTTGTGCTTGATGTACTACTATGTTGTATTTTGGACATCTGTTGCTATAGTAAAAATTTCTTACAATGCAGCTTCTACAAAAGGTATGAAGGCATTCTGTAATGGTACTTGTATCTGTTAGGTAACCTTTGCAAATAGAACACAGGATGTATGAGGTCAGCTCGGTGAGATTAATCAGGCGCTCCTCCGCGTCCTCCGAGTACGGCCCGCCCCCCTCCAGCCTCAGAGAGAAATGGCTCATTTCTTCCTCCTCCTCTTCCTCCTCTTCCTCGAGCTCCTCATCCTCTTCCAGCTCCTCGTTGTCCTCCTCTAAGCGACCTTTCAAGTTGCCCAGGTTGAGCTCGGGCTGCAGTTCCGGGGGCTGGGCGCCGGATCAGCCCAGCCGGGTGCTCCCGCCTCAGGCTGAGGGGCCGGGCCGTCCTCTCCCGCGGCGGGCGCCCGGACGAGGGCAGGAGGGGAGGCCGGCGGGCGGGACGACACTGGCTACGGCCGGCCGGGCGACTGGAGAGCGTGGGAGTTCCGCCAGCCCCGTCACCGCCATTCCGTATTCATATTCTATAACCACAAAACAAAAGAATTTTTAAAATGTGTTGCTTTGCCCTTGCTGAATGAAATTCATTTGTTAGCTATTTTTAAGTACTCCAGTTAATCAAGTTTTGATAGTACTTCAAAAACTGACTTTTCCAAAGATAAAAAATAGTCTTTATTTGTTATAACAAAATTAAACTTAAAAGCACATTTACATTTATTCTTAAACATAAATTTATTTACAATTTTATAAACAATGAAAATTAATGATATCTAAATAAGACCACTTCGTTATATGTGCAGTTTTACAGATGTCCAAAGATGAAAAGCATTTCTTTCATCCTTCTACTCACTGTTCACATCTTGCTCTAATTGATAGCATTTTCCTGCTTTCTTTCCAATAAACAATGTCTTCTTTTATGCCAGGCATGGTGATGCATGGCTATAATCTCAGCACTCTTGGGGGCTGAGACAGGACGCTTGATTGCAAGTTTGAGGCCCACCCAGGAATCGTAGTGAGACGCTGTCTTAAAATTAAAAAATGTAAAAAAGGGCTGGAGATGTAACTCAGTATGAAGGCTCTGGATTCAATGCCCAGTAGCACAAGAATAAAAGTCTTCCTTTAAAAAAAGTAAAAGTTGAACACAGAATTACCATATGACCCAGAAATTCCACTCCTAAGTCTAAGAAAAATGAAAACATATGTCCACACAAAAACTTGTATACAAAGCTTATAGCAGCATTATTCATAATAGCCAAATGGTAGAGTCCAGCCAAATGGTACAGTCGACCCAAATGTCCATCAAGTGAAGAATAGATAAACAAAATGTATATCCATTTGTGCGTAACAAAGAATGTATTACAACAAAACTGTAACTAAATACAGCACATTCCTGAGTTCTGTGAATTGTTCTAATAAATCATTGACTTGAGAAGGTAGTCAAAACTTCCAAATTTGTACCTTCTGGTCAGAAGTAAGGGTGTCCTGGGAGCCCCCAAGCTTGTGGCTTGTGTCTAAAATAAGGGCAGTCTTGTGCAGGCTGTGCACTTATCTTGTGAACTTTGGTGTAAGAAGTCATTGGAATTGGTGTCAGGAGAAGTGGAATTTGCTAAAACAACTCTGATTCATTGAACTACAATAGCCCTCCTTTATCTTCAGGGTATATGTTCTAAGACTTTCAGTGAGTGCCTGAAACAACAAATATTACTGAACCTTATTTATACTGTTAGGTTTTTTCCCCCATACATATCTATGAGAAAGTTTAGCTTATAAAAGAGGCACAGCCAGGTGTGGTGGCGCATAATCCTGTAATCCCAGCACTTGGGAGTCTGAGGCAGGAGGATTATGATGAGTTTGAGGCCCACCTGGGCTACATAGTGAGACCCTGTCTCAAAAAAAACAGGAAAAAAAAAAAAGAGGCACAGTAAAAGGTTAGTAACAGGGCTGGGGATTTAGCTCAGTGGTTCCGCCACCTGCCTCGAAAGTGCAAGTTCCCGAGTTCGATCCCTGGTACCAAAAAAAAAAAAAAAGGTTACCAATATAATTAATGATGAAATAGAACAATAATAACAATATACAGTACATAAACACAACTATCAAAATACCAAGACAATGGACTTGGTAAACAAGATGGTTGCTAAGTGACTAACAGACAGTAGTATTTACTGTGTGGATATGCTGAGCAAAGGAGTGATTCACATCCTGTACAGAACAGGACAAGATTGCATGAAATTTCATAATGCTACCCAAGCCAATGTATAACTTGAAACTTACGAATTATTTATTTCTAGAATTGTCCATTTACTGTTTTCTGACCACAGTTGACCCAGGTAAATAAAACAGTGGGTAGTGAAACTGTGAATAAGAGTAATTAATGTAGGTGGTTTGTGAAGAGAAAGAAAGGAAGAAGAATGAGGAACTTGATTCCTGAGTGGGTTGCCACAGGGTTACCCACAGTATGAAACAGCAGCTGTGCTGTGATTAGTAACCAGCAATAAAAGTTACCAGTAGAATTTAGAAATGACTGAACCCAATGTGGGAAGTTGGGTTACTGGATCCATAAGAAAATGTAAACTAACAAGATAAAAGCTAAATAAATATTTGTAATAACTAAAATGACAGTAAAGGTGAGTCAAGCTGGAGATGGGTAGGGTGGCATACACCTATGATCCCAGCTCTCAGGGGGCTGAGGCAGGAGGATCCCTGAACATCTCAGGTCAGCCTGGGGTACACAGTGAGTTCAAGGCCACCTGAAATACATACTGAGACCCTGTCTCAAAAAAACCAAAAAAAGTCAAGCTGATATTCTGGCCAGTTTGAGCTACAGCCTCTAGTCCCATGGTTCTACTGAAGGAATAAGTTGGGAAAGATTCTGATGTTGGGATGTCTGGCTGGCTAGAGGTATAGCCACTAGCTGCAGAGCCATTTTCAAAAGTAAATATGCTGAAACAACAGACAAAGGATGATAGACCGACTCTTAAAAGATTGAGGATAGAAAGAAAAGAGGGATTTGTCTCAGCAAGTTGGAAATCTTTGAGCAGTTTTTAAGAAAATGGGATGAATAAAACTGACCCAACATGGTGTAGTATTCTGAGAGGTTAGGTGGATCACGGAGGCTCTGCTGCCCCCTCACCAATGAAGGATGCTAAACGAATATGACTTACTCACTCTTGTTTGGAGGAATCAAGAAACCTAACTTTGGGTTACCTGGAGTAATAGTGCCACAACCAAATAATTATAAGAATTGGTGACAAAAGGGTTACAGCCCTTGGTTCAAACCTCCCCCTTGACCCCCATTGTAGACCCATGGCCTTAGACACACAAGTGAGTGCAACTGTCAGAGTGGAGAGGAGACATTGCTGGGACTCAGACATAGGAGCCACATGCATTATCGTGCCCCCTTAATGATGCCCTAATTGGGACCATAACTATATCAAGACTAAGTAAGTCCCCCACTTAGTCTGTTCCAGGCAAACATTCATAAGTTGGATTCATTCGTAAGTCCTACAAAGTGAGCCTTAATGCACCTTTGACACAAATATACAATGTAAAAAACTAAACACATGCACTGTACAGTAAGCACACAGCAGCACAACTGTGACAATATCCAGCAGACACGTGAGCTACTTCCACGATTTGTTTGCATCTAGGAAGATTCCTAATGCAAGGTCCAGTTTTATCTATGTTCGAAACTCCAGTGTTCCTAAGTCGGGGACTTACTTGAAGATGGAAATGCAATGGTTGATGGGACTAAAAGATGAAAATGGAATATTTGACCGGAGTGATTCTATCTCTTTTCCCTGGATGGTTTAAGGAAATGAATATTATGTCAAAATGAGGAACACGTCCCATACCTACTATTATGCCTATAATCCCAGAACTTTGGGAAGCTGAGGCAGGAATACCACAAGTTCAAGCCCAGCCTGGGCAACTTAGTGACTTAGGGAGTCCCTGTCTCAAAAACAAAAAACAAAGGCTGGGGATGTGACTTAGTTCAAAAGCTCTGGGTTCAATCCTCAGTATGACAACAATAAAACAAAACAAAACAAAGCAACAAACAAACCAAACTGAAATATGTCAGTGAGGTCCCTGTAGAGACTGTAGTTAGAGATGCAAGGTCAAAGTTTGGATTAGAAATGGTATCTTAGAGCAGACTTTATGTATGAACACCATCTCTTTTAGCTAAATGTATTAGGGGGATATTGTATTATTCAATATATAAGAGGACGTTTTATCCAATTGGGGAATATTCTTCCTACTATTGTAAAACAGAAGGGATGTGAATCCACCCTTTAGGCAAGATTAATTGGATATGATAGATGGGAACCAATAAGACTGCCTAAATCCACACAGGTCATTAATTTAAACCAGTGTAAAGTCGGAGCTGAAGTGACAGTAGAGACAAATTCTATGTATAAAAGCCCCTTGTGAAGTACAAGCTGGGCCTATCCCAAGAGCCTATGAGTGCCACCCTGTGAAACCTGCTGGGACTTTGCACATGGACTTTCCATTTGAGAGGAAATTACTAGCTTGTTATCAGACATTAAATGAAATTGCCCCTGTTGCTGAAAGATATAAAATAATCTTAAACATGAAAGATACATAACATTTTGAGAGATGTGGGGAAAAACTCACTAATGGGGAGTGAAGTAACCAGAAGAGTTCCATAATAAGATGGAAATGGTTTGTGTAGGAGCATGTTACTGAGGGAATGCAAGGAAAAACTCTGCCCATCATATTCCCAAAAGATAGACTTTTTCTCTAAAACTGACTTTGAAACCACTTGAGAAGCTGCTGAAGTCTATCACCACTTAGACAGTGTCCTATGAACAGCTATTTTAAAATTTTTTCTTTTGTTTTTTTGAGACAGGGTCTCACTATGTATTCAAACTGACCTATTCATTATGTAGCCCAGGCTGGCCTCAGACTTGTGGCGATCCTTCTGCTTCAGCCTCCCAAGTGCTGGGATAATAGGTGTGTGTCACCACTCCTCGATAAGAGCTACTTGGTTTATAATGGTATTTTAGTTTCACCATTCTGATGCAAGAAGGTAAAAATCAATCAGCTTTTCCGATGCCTGCCTCGAAAGCACAAGGTCCCGAGTTCGATCTCCAGTACCAAAAAAAAAAAAAAATCAATCACCTTAATGAGTTGAATTACTTGCTGTTTTCTCCTGCATTTCAGTTTTTATCTACTTGTGGGTGAAGGACAATGGTCTGATCATATTGTCAGGCAGGAGGGCAGTGGAAAACTAGTCTATTAGCTTGATGCATCTTTAAAAATCACCATGGGAATTTGAGAGATGCATTAAAGTAGAATATATTGAAGTTCAATGGAAGAACAACATTCCAGAATTGGAAGTGAATTTTCCAGGATGTTGACTTGAGGTGGCCACTTGGATCCATGAAAGGAGTGAGTGTAGAATACAGCAGAGAGACAGAGAGTAAATATATGTCTGTATGGCTGTGGGGCAGAGTCCCCAGAGAGAAGCCACCACTGAATAGCTGCATAAC